TGGAGCTCTCCGCCGCTGCCCCAGCTCAAAGGTACGAGCCCGCCCTCCTTCCCTGCCCTCCGGCTGCAGGTGCCGCTGCCGGCACCGCCTGCCCTGGCTTGGCCCCTTCCCCGCGCCCTCTGCCCTTTAGCCGTGTCCTCCCCTGCCCCCGATGCTTTCCAGGTAGGGACCCCGCGGCAGGAATTCTGCTTCCTCTGCTCACATAAACCAGCGTCGCACAGGTTGGCTGTCGCTCGCTGTCCCGGGCGCTGCGGCCACTAAGTCGGCGCCCCCCTTTTCTGGCTAGTTGGTGTGCTTTTTGAGGTCTTACCGAAGAAAATATAGACGGTAAGTTGAGTTCAGGAAGGCATGGAATTGAGCGCTAAAACCTGGGAGCGATCGGTGGCTCCTCCCACGGGGGATTTTGCCAAGAGGAACTCTGTGCCCGTGCCATGGTATCCCGAGTTGCCGGAGAGAGTTTGCGTTTGGCTGCTCGGTTCTTTCGCACCGCTTTTGGGACAGTGTTTGAATGGCGTTTTGGTGGTCTTCAGGAGTTGCCTCGGAGACCTTCTCCTGCACAGTGATGTATGAAAACACTCACAAGTGAATGAAAACTCTGAATGCTGAACTTAAGATAGACAGCGAAGGTTTTATCCTCTGTAGTGCAGCTAAACTCCAAGAAGGCTCAGTTCATTAGGTTACAATAGTGAAACGAAGTTCATTGCAACCTTCTACAGCTTTAAACATCAGAATAGGTTTCTGTATGTTTTAAAAATTAGAAAAAGTACTTTTTAGGCAGAGAATACAAACTTGTTACTAAAGCATTTGTCAGGGACCTGAAAAATAAGGGAGAGCGATTACCTTAATGTGACCCAGCATGTTAATTTTGCTCCCACCAGTTTTAAAGTCTTAAGGCTTTTGAAGCTGCATCATATGATGGTGGGGAAAAAATATCTCTTATTTGCAGCAAATATCCAAAATCTGAATGAGATATGCCAAACTTTAAAAATATTCCTAGGTATTAAGTAATTTTTCTTTTTCAGTGTGCATTTTGTGGCTTTTACAGTTATGTCTGTAGTATTTCAACACAGTCCATTTTCCCTAGTGTTTGAGTGGCAGATATAAGTGAATCATAAATATGGGTCTTAGCAGAAGTGTTAATAAATACAGATAAGCTTGGGCAGGGGAGTAACAAGGACAGGGTTGGTTGTTTGGGTTTTTCACACATTTGTTGCAGCAGCTTTAAGTCTTAGTTTTAACAACAGCAAGGGATGTTCTTGCCTCTTGTTTTGGGCTTTCATTTCTGTATGAAGTTGTGTCTTGTCTTGGTGCACTAGTTTGATTTGAGGGATTTATAACCAATGTAATTTGTTTGAAATCAAGATTTGGTTTCTGCTGTTCACATACTGTTTAGACAGTGTATTTTCCTCGGAGATCACTTTTAGAAAACCACACTTGAGACCTTGTGAAGGCACTTGATAAGTATTACACATAGGTGGCAGACTTCAGAAAGTTTGAGTCCTGACCCAGCAAACAGTTAAACATATATGCTTTATTCAGGGAGTAATTCCAGCTTAAATCAGCCAAATGTCCAAGTTTACGTTCTTTGCTGAGCTGGGATTTTAATATTAAATTTTTACCTCTGTGTTATTAAGTCTTGTAGTTTTGTGAGTGTGGTTTTACAGCTTTTTACTTATAACACAGAGAAATTTTGTATGGCATCAGCAGCTCAGATGTTTGGAAATTTGAGGCCGTAAACCAGCAGAGGAATTTCTTCAGTTATGCAGGATTTTATAGTAGTTTGAATTTCCTTATTGCCTTAAGTTCTTAAAGGAAAATCCCATCTGTGATTCAAATGTAAAGGCTTACCCTACAGACCTGCTTCAGAACAAAAGTTGTGGGCAAAATATGCTCTTATGAGCTGTAGTGTCCCAGCTAGGCAGTTTGCAGAAAGTCCTCCATTTTGCAGCACTCCTCTGCATGTTTTTCTCCCTTGGGTATGTGATGTTAGATTTGTCCTGAACATAGCTGTGGACATAGGATAATTTCTTTCCACCTGCTTGATGTTCCCTCTCTCCCTTTCTCTCTTAAACCTCTCTGGACCCTGACACCAAAAAAGGTTCTAGAAAGAGTTTGCTCTCTCTGTAAATGTGTCATTTTGTGTAACTTTTTGTTCTAATTACGTACATCTTGGGAAGATGCAGCTTTACTTTATTCTCTAAAGTTAATATGGGAAACAGTATTAGCTATGATGCTGCCAGTGTAGTATCATCTACAGAATCGCCAGCCAGAGTACCTAGGGAGGGGCTGAAAAAGGAAAGCACAGTCATTATACTGATGCCTACGGGTGCTCAGCATACACTTAAGTATTTAGAATAAGACATTTTGCTTTTACAGATCTCTTCAAATAAATGGCTAAATCCGAGGTGTTTCAAACCTCTGTTGGGAGAAAAATAGTGGTTTTTAGATGAAAAAGCAGCTTGGTATTATGCTACTGTAAATATTTCATCTTGTTTATAGTACTGACTTGTTTAATCAAAAATATTCTAAAATAAGTATAAACAGTATTCTAAATTCCCCATTAGATTTGTCAGACTGGCCTAAAACACTTGCATCTATTGTACTGGGGGGAGAGATGGTCCACTCAGGAAGTACCTTCTTGGGTGTAGAGAGTGTTGTGGGATTTTTCCTTTTCTCTAGGGACTGTTTTGTTTGCCACCGAAATGGTCAGATCAGGTTGTGTAACACACTTTCAGAGTTGTGTTGTTTCAAAGGCTTTAGACAGATAATCTTAAAAGTACCTATTTCTGGAGTTAATTGTGCTGCTGCTGTGCATTACCAAAATTCTGTCATTTGGCTGTGTATTCCTTCTGGCAGTGATACAGTAGATTTGTTACTAGTGGGTAACAGTCCCACTTAGTACCCAAATAGTAGGTACTCTTCCCTGGGAGGTGTTGTTGGGGGAGTGAGATTGAGAGGAGGAGAAGTAACGTTGTGTGTTGTCATCAACCTTCAGCTTATTTTTGTGCGTGATGATATCTTTTCTTTTTAGATAGAAACTCAGCAAACTCAGGATATTCAAAATAAATGAGTAATGTGTTCTTCAGTTAATTTAGCAGGTTTTCTCAAGTGTTTGTTATTCGGGAGAACAATATTTTACTGTATTATTTAAAAACTGAAAAAGAAATACTGGAGACAGTGACTGTATTTAAAAGAAAAAAAAGGTTGTTAAATCTGTTAGAAGTAGAAGTTGGTTTTTTCTCCATCTCCCTTTTCATTTTGTTACCTTAAAGTTTACATAATATAAATATTTTTAAGAATCTGCAGCCAAAATAATATGCTGGTTAACAGTAGGATTTTATCACTTCATGGACAGTTCTGAGAGTACTGAGTTTAAAGAAGTCTGGCAAAGGAAGTGTTATTTTAAATGTCTTAAGAAGTGGTGATTGTCTCAATAGAAGGTTGTTTTAACAGGCTGTGATAGAATATGCAGTTACCTTTGTTTTTGAAAAAGAGACATAACTTGACCTTGGAACCTGATCTGACCCTTTACAGTAGATGTAGTGCTTGTCATTTTTGGTTGAAGAAGCATGTAAAAATACAGGTGGAAAGTGGTTTATTTAATATAGTTAATATGGTCTGTCAGACTGTAAAGCAAATAGATCTTTTCCTTTTGTTTTTTCCCCCGTGTACCAAACATGTCAACTGCAGCTGGGAAGAATAAATATTTTCTGATGCCTTTCTGTGATTTTTCTCAATAGTGAATATCCATTTGGGAAGATGCATATCACCGCAGGCATTTGTCCTATATCATGCTCAGAGAATAAATACGTGAAAATAAATTCTTAGTATTCACTTCTAAATTAAGTTGTCTCCCCACAGAGGGAACTCTGGCCCTTACAGCAGAAGAACTGGAAAGTAGTACAGAAATCTTTTAGCCTTAGGCTAACAAGAGTTGTGATGATCTCTGTGGGGCTGAGAATTGTGGAGGTGAAGTATACTGGAATAAGGCATTTTTAAGAAGACCTTCCAGTGTGTAGTTTCAGCATTCAAATACAGGCTGTAAAATAGGCGTTAACTGTAGTATTTTTCTTTACTTAAACCCTTGAGAGAGAGAGCTCAGGTTTGACTGAAAACCAGTTGCCATGTCACTATACTTTTGTGGAAATGTTATAGGAAGGCCTAATAAGCATATGGGTAAAACTTTTATGTTCATTAATCTGTCAGGATCACTTCAAAACCTTAAACTTTGAGTTCTGAGTCCCATAGCCTGTGCTTCAGTGACAAAAGTAAGTGAAATTAAAAACAGCTGAGAGAATTTTCTTCTTCTATTAAGTTGCCTTTGCTCCCTAAAGGAAAATGTATTTTAAAATTTTAGAATAGTTTACTTTTACTCCAGCCTTATAAATATTTGTAAGTGAAATGAGTTTTCTGTCTCAGACTTGCACTTTTTTTTTTATCCCTTATGAGTCATTGTTATTTCCTCTTCTGTAGTCCCCATCCTCTACCTTTTGTATTCAACATCCCTTGCAACTGCAATCAACTTGGGTGAGTTTTTCCTTGAGAGTGAATCTGTATTTCAAATGAAGAATGAGGATGTTCTATGAGGAATTTAGGTTTAACTCTTATGTATAATCTCAGCACAGTGTACTATAAAATAGTCAAAACTTCCTTTTTAGTGAAGGTACAATCTTGAGAAATAAAGAACCTATAATAGATAAAAAAGCTTTAGTAGTTCCATGAAAAACGAGCTGTTTGAATTTTTTTCTATATTAAGGAACTGTTCCTAGTTTATGGAGTGGAACATTTTAGTCTTTAATTCTTAACAAATTGACCTTTTTTTATCCATAGACTTGAATTTTTGGTCTTGGAATATACTTCCATCAAGAGCAACTCCTAAATATAGAGCCTATTGACAGTCTTCACATGAACTTTTCTATTTAAATCTTTCACATCTTCTGTGTGCCAGCTTAGTATCAGATTTCTTTTTCCATAATCATTGCTTTCTAGTTTAGTCAGATAGTAGTTTTGCAGGTGCTGAGTTTAGTGTTA